CCCGAACCCATCCTGTAGTGATTTCCCCAGTTCCAGAATGCCTAATTGGAATAGACATACTAAGCAATTGGCAGAACTCCCACTTTGGGTCCCCAACATGTGGAGCATGTTCCTATTATGGTAGGAAAGCCAAGTGGAAGCCATTAGAACTGCCTCTACCTATAAAAATAGTAAATCAAAAGCAATACTGCATCCCTGGAGGTGTTGCTGAGATTACTGCCACCATCAAAGACTTGAAGGATGCAGGGGTGGTGATTCCCAATTATTTCACTGATTTAGCCTGTGCAAAAAACAGATGGATCTTGGAGAATGACAGTAGATTATCGTAAACTTAATCAGGTGGTGACTCCAATTGCAGCTGCTGTTCCTGATGTGGTTTCATTGCTCGAGCAAATTAGTACATCTCCTGGTACTTGATATGCAGCCATTGATCTGGCAAATGCTTTTTTCTCTATACCAATCTCAAAGGACCAATCAGAAGCAGTTTGCCTTCAGCTGGCTGGGCCAACAGTATACTTTTACAGCGCTCCCTCAGGGATATATCAACTCCCCAGCACTATGTCATAATTTAGTCCATAGGGATCTTGATCAAACCTTTCCCTTCCAGAAGACATCACACTGGTCCATTATATTGATGACATTATGCTGACTGGACCTAGTAAGGAACAAGTATCAGTAACTCTAGACTTATTGGTGACACATGCATGCTAGAGGTTGGGAAATTAACCCAACAAAAATTCAGGCACCTTCCACCTGAGTGAAATTTCTAGGGGTCCAATGGTGTGGGGCATGTCAAGATATTCCTACTTAAGTGAAGGATAAGTTATTGTATCTCACTTCCCCCATAACTAAAAAGGAGGCACAATGTCTGGTGGGCCTCTTTGGATTGTGGAGACAACATATCCCTCATTTGGGTGTGTTGCTTTGGCCTACTTATCAAATGACTCAGAAAGCTGCTAGTCTTGAGTGGAGCCCAGAACAACAGAAGCCTCTTCAACAGGTTCAGGCTGCTGTGCCAGCTGCTCTGCCACTTGGGCTATATGATCCAGCTGATCCAATGGTGCATGAAGTGTCTGTAGGAGATAGGCTATTTGGAGTCTTTGGCAGGTCCCTACTGGTGAACTGCAACACAGACCCTTGGGATTTTGGAGCAAAGCCCTGGCATCCTCTGCAGATAACTACTCTCCTTTTGAGAAACAGCTTTTGGCTTGTTATTGGGCTTTAGTAGAGACTGAGTACCTAACCATGGGCCACCAAGTGACCATGAGGCCTGAGCTCCCCTTCATGAACTGGGTGTTGTCTGACCCACAAAGTCATAAAGTTGGACATGCACAGCAGCACTCCATCATTAAATGGAAGTGGTATATCAGAGATCAGGCTCAAGCAGGACCTGAAGGCACAAGTAAGTTGCATGAGGAAGTGGCCCAAATGCCTATGGTCTCCACTCCAGTCACATTGCCTTACCTCTCCCAGTCTGACCTATGGCCTTATGGGGAGTTCCTTATGATCAGTTGTCTGAGGAAGAGAAAAAACTCGCACCTAGTTTACAGATGGTTCTGTGCGATATGCAAGCACTACTTGAAAGTGGACAGCAGTGGCACTGCAGCCCCTTTCTGGGACTTCCTTAAAGGACAGTGGTGAAGGGAAATCCTCCCAATGGGCAGAACTTCGAGCCGTGAATATGGCTGTTCACTTTGCATGGAATAAGAAATGGCCAGATGTGCAATTATATAGGGATTCATGGGCTGTGGCTAATGGCTTACATGGATGGTCTGGGATTTGGAAGGAGCATGATTCGAAGATTGGTGATAAGGATGCATGAGGAAGAGGTATGTGGACAGATCTCTCTGACTAGGCCAAAGGAGTAAAGGTATTTGTGTCTGATGTGAATGCCCACCAAAAGGTGACCTCGGCAGAGGAGGACTTTAACAATCAGGTGGATAGGATGACACGTTCAGTGGAAACCAGCCATCCTTTTTCCCCAGCTACTCCTGTCATTGCTCAATGGGCTCATGAACAAAGTGGTCATGGTGGCAGGGACGGAGGTTATGCAATGGACTCAGCAACATGGACTCCCACTTATGAAGGCTGATTTGGCTACTGCCATTGCTGACTGCCCAATCTGCCAACAGCAAAGATCAACACTGAGTGTGATATGGAAGCATTCCTCTGGGTGATCAGCCAGCAATGTGGTGGCAGGTTGAATACATTGGACCACTTCCATTATGGAAAGGACAGCATTTTGTTCTTACTGGAATAGATACTTATTCTGGATATTGATTTGCCTTCCCTGCACACAACGCTTCTGCCAAAACTATCATCTGTGGACTTACAGAATGTCTTATTCACCGTCATGGTATCCCACACAGCATTGCTTCAAATCAAGGGATTCACTTCACAGCAAATGAAGTGTGGCAATGGGCCTATGCTCATGGAATTCACTGGTCTCACCATGTTCCCCATCATCCTGAAGCAGCTGGCTTGATAGAATGATGGAATGGCCTACTGAAAACACAATTATGGTGCCAGCTACGTGGCAATACCTTGAAGGGTTGGGGCAATGTTTTCCAGGAGGCTGTATATGCTCTAAACCAGCGTCCAAAATATGGTTCTGTTTCTCCAATAGCCAGGATTCACGGGTCCAGGAACCAAGGGGTGGAAACAGGAGTGGTACCACTCATTATTAACCCTAGTGACCCACTCAAAAAAATTTTGCTTCCTGTCCCTGCTACCCTACACTCTACAGGTCTGGAGATCTTAGTCTCAAATGGAGGAACACTCCCACCTGGAGACACAATACTGATTGCATTGAACTGGAAAGTAAGAATGCCACCTGGCCGTTTTGGCTTCCTCATGCCTCTGGATCAACAGAAAAAGGGCATTACTGTACTATCTGATATGACAGATCCTGATTACCAAAGGGAAATTGGATTGACATTACATCATGGAGGTAAAGAAGAGTATGTCTGGCATACAGGAGATTCTTTAGGACGTCTCTTAGTACTACCATGCCCTGTGATTAAATTCAATGGAAAATCATAACAACCCAATTCTGATATGACTGCTAATGGCTCAGACCCTTCAGGAATGGCTTGCGTCACCCCACCAGGCAAAGAACCACAACCAGCTGAGGTGCTTGCTGAGGGAAGGGAAATACAGAATGGGTGGTGGAAGAAGGTAGTTCTCAGGACCAGATGCAGAAACGAGGACTGTGATTGCTATAGTTCTTCATTGTACATGTGCATCACAAATATTTTTGTTTCCTTCTGTTACGAACTGTGAAATGTAAATAAGGTTAATGGGTTTCAGTTGTACATGTGTTAGCATATCATGCTAGGCACAAATATGACTTTATAACTGTCCTTATTTAGTGATTATATATGGTTAAGAAGATGTGTACAATGCCAAGTTGACAAGGGGTGGACTGTGATAGTTGGAGCTGTGTGTCAACTTGGATGGACCACAATTCTGTGTGGTTTAAGCAGTTGTGGTTATGCCCATGATGGGTTGAGATGAATATGTTTTGAGCAGCCAATCCGCTGAAAGGGAGTTTCCCTAGGGGTGTGGCCTGCTTCCAGTATATTTATGGACATCTTGGGAAAAGAGACACTCTTCTGTGGATTGGGATTCTGCTGTGATGCCTACAATGGTCCGTGAGCGAACAATCCACCATTTGGCCTGAAGATCTTGGATTTGCCATTCGTTGGAGTCAACAGCCAGTATACTGCCTGTCAACCTTGAGCTCCTCAGCCCCTGAAGCTGCAAGAGTTGGGAAAAGCCTCCAGCTTGATGGTTGATCCAAGAACTTTGTGTGTAAACCATTTTCCTAAGATAACTTTCTTTTTCTCTCTCTATATAAGCTTTATTGGTTTTGTTTCTCTAGAGATCCCAGTCTAACAGACTTTCCTACTGTTTCTCCTGCTTCCCCCCTTCAAATCTGTCCCTCCTACATGTTGTCGTGCTATTTTTAATGACTGTATTAACTTTCTTATCTGTTAAAAATGTTTATACCAGTAGGTTTCTGAACAATGTAAAGCTTTATTCTATGAAAATGTGCAGGGACTTCCAATGTTTTATACAAATTGAAAAAGATACACAGAACTGAGGGGTTTAAACACCTCTCCCCTATAGGCCACTTTTAAAAAGCACAGGATTTGTATTTCTGTATACCATAAGCTTAACTGCAACACAGTTAATTATTAGTGGCACATAAAAATTGAATACTAATAAAGTATAATCTGTAACTCTCAGAAATCTTTATTTTTACAGCATTCTTGGCAATAACTAAAACTCTAGAGAAAGGCTTATGAACTTAAGACTCTAATCTACCTGTTAATTTTAATATTCTTCTTTTCATATTTATTTGTGCAATTAAAATCTCTTCAAGGTTTTATCTGTATTTGTCAAACACTGAAACACTGGAAAGTTGCTAATTCTGTGGTGCAATGGTTAACTATTTAGGTGCTAACTGAAAGATCAGCGATTCAAACACACCAGCTACTCCACAGGAGAAAAGACCTGGTGATTTGCTTCTGTAGCAATTACAACCTAAGAAGCCCTATGGGGCAGTCTACTCTGGTGGCATGGTGGTTAAAGTATCTGGCTAATGAAAAGGTTAGTGGTTTAAACCTACCAGCTACTCTGAGGGAGAAAGATGTGACAATCTGCTTCTGTAAAGATTTACAGCTTTGGAAACCATATTGGGCAGTTCTACTCTGTCCTCCAGGGTCGCTACGAGGTAGAATCAATTCGATGGCAATGAGTTTTCATTGTGGATGTTCAGGTGTTGCCCACTAAAGAATGGAGAAAAAATTGAGAAATCACCCATCTGACCCCCCTTGGGTTTCCGAGGTGGTATCTCTACGGAAGTATATTGCCCAATCTTCCTTTCGAGAAGTAGCTGGTGGGTTTGAATCACCAGTCTTCTGGTTAGCAGTCAAATGCCTTAGGCACTACGCCACCAGAGCTCCTTGTCATGATTTAGATATTAGCTTTATTACCTATCACAGAAAGCCGTTTTTTCCTTTCTGCTCCAAATACTATGTTATCCAAATCTTCTAGTGATGGCAATGGTTCTAAATTAGTAGCCTGCAAAGGAAAAAGGACAGTTAATGCTATTCTTAGAGCTTAAACAGAATCCTCTATCCTACCAAATATAACCTAGTTATTCTATGTTACTGTGGGTTTTACCAGGAGCTCTGGTAGCATAGTGTCTAAGGTACTTGACTGCTAACCAGAAGGCTGGCAGTTCAAACCCACCAGCCACTCCTCAGAAGGAAGGTGGGCAATCTACTTCCATACTGATACCGCCTCGGAAACCCAATGAGGGGTCGCTATGAGTCAAGTCTGACTCGACAGCACATAACAACAACAACGTGGGTGTTACCAAATCTTCTACACTTTGCAATTTTAATATAATTCTCTTCAAGTTCTCATTTTCTATTAGTTTCATATGTGCAATATACTATACTTATTTGTAGTTTTGAATATGTGCTTCTGAGGACCAAGGATATTAAACTATAGCAATTATAGTACGTATGTTGACATTTAATCACATTGAAAATATGATGAATGATTAGAAAAATAACTACAGATATAAATAACATTCAGACATAAATTCCTTTATTGAGGGAAAAAAAACCTTTTCCAACTCCTACCTGCGTACTTCCATTTACTACAAGTAATATTTTAAGGCTCTTCATATGAATACTACGATCTAGCAGTTCCACAGCTTTGTCCAAGTCATCTTGAGTAGTTAATGGAATTACCAACTAAAGGAAAAGAGACACAAAGAGTCATGCAACCATCTCACCAGGTCAAATCCTTCCAGCAGCAAATATCTCCATTACTAGGGAATTACAAATCTCAAAATAATTTGCTCTTTCTCACTGAACTGAAAGTCTGAATACATACACATATCTAGATTCTTTTGTTTTCACATGCTACCATCACTAAAATCATAGAATGAATATAGGCAAACATTTTAAAATTAAAATTCTTCTAGAAAACACATTTAAAGTTTCTAAGATATTTATAACATATGGCTAAACTATAATTATGGTAATACTCACCCCCAAACAGCATGTAAACATAAAGACTGTACAAAATAAAGTTACCATCTTTCACATCCATCAATGAAACTTTTAGTTCTTTTTCCAATAGTAACCACAATTTGCAGTGCCTATCAATATGCCATTATCTTTAGCATCTATGATAGCTGCCATGGAAGGCTGCCGTTAGTAATATACCTACACTCTACAGCCCATCTTTGGTTCTTACCCCTGACCCCACTGATTTGAACAATATACTCTAAAATAAGGTAAATTAGTCAGCCATCCTATCATGACCCTGAATATAGAAATCTGTTTTCATTAGTCAGCCCATGGATCAGACAAAAGCACCAGAGAGTACTATTAAAAAAAATTGTGATTCACACAACTCAAGAAAATCAAAACACGTTTTGTCAGCTTAGTAGCTTAAGAAGACTCTATGTGAATGTCTATGTGAACACCTGCAAAGTATATTCCATTTCACTGAAAGAGGGATAAAGTAAAAACAAGTAAACACATTTCACATATATTAATCTGCTCTATGAGAAAATTTTCTATTAAGAAAAGTGTATTAACTACTTGCTATAATAGAATAAGCTTGATCCACTTTAGTAAATTCCTTTCATTTTCCTACAAATTATAAACCATATTAGTACAACTTGTTTTATCCTCAGTGTTATTTTTTTGTTATGTTATAAACATTGGAAATGGTGAAGACTGGTCTGCCAATGTTTGACTGGAATAAAAAATCCAACTGCTTACTTTCACTATATTTATTTGAAATGAGATTGTTTCCTTCTCCAAGATACTGTTGCTCTTGGAGTAAACAAGCAATAGCTTAAATCACAGTAACAAAATATAATGTAAACGATAACTGCTCATCTTCAGCTTGCTGAAGTGAAATTTGGGCATTCCAGAGGAGTACATGGCACAGTGGCTTGGACTACTGTGGTTTTAATTTGATCCCTCTTATGTTTTAAAAAGGAGCTCTGGTAGCATAGTATCTAAGGCACTTGACTGCTAACCAGAAGGCTGGCAGTTCAAACCCACCAGCAACTCCTCGGAAGGAAGGTTGGGCAATCCACTTCCATAGTGATATCACCTCAGAAACCCAAGTAGGGGTGTCGTTATGAGTTGGGTCCAACTCAACGGCACATAACAACAACAACATGTTTAAAAATCATGAGTGCTTTGAATCCACTAGCCACCCCAACAGGAGAAAGATGAGTGAGTCTGCTTCCATAAAGATTTACAGCCTTCAAAACCCTCTGGGAAAGTTCTACTCTGGCTATAGGGTTACTGTGAGTCAATATCAACTTGATGACAATGAGTTGGGTTTTTATTTTAATTTTTTTACTACCACCAATATAAAAAGGAAGGTGCTCTGGTGGCACTGTTGTTAAGGCATTGGACCACTAAGCAAAAGGTTGGCAGTTAGAACCCTCCAGCTGCTCCTCAGGAGAAAGATGAGGTAGTCTACTTTTCCAAAGATTTAAAGCCTTGGAAATCCCATAAGGGTCCCTATGAGTTGGAATCAACTCGATGACTGTGGGGTTAATATTAAAAAGAGAATTAAGAGTCAAGGTCAAGTCCCAGCTAGACTAAATTATGCTAAGTAAACAACAGAATGTTTTTCTCTCCTGCTTGGTGAACTCATTTCAGCTTCATTCAAGAAATCTGTTTCTTTCTGGCTTATTTTTGATGAATTAGTTGTTTGTTAATATAAATCCTTTCTGGAAAGGAAACTAAAAATTGAGTGCAAAAACCCATAAATAGAACCTAAATGTGAAATAAGTATGTCATCTTCCTGAGAGTAAAGAACACAAACAGCCCATAAAAAAAGATTTTCCTGTTCTACTCATCTCAGATAGGAAAGATCTTAGAAAATCCACTTATTTTGCTTATACATCCAATTCCACCTTCCTACATGAACAAACACCCTCCCACACACACACACACACACACCACACACCCTACACCTTATTAAATAAAGAGGAGCCAAACTAACAAATGCAGACAACCACAATTCAAATGTCCTGGTTGTTTTGATTGATGCAAATCAGAAGTTTAGAGAATAATGATGGCTCATCCTGAACATGGGAATTTATATTATACTAAAAATAAAATCTTTATTGAATTGGAATAATATGAAGTATAAATGAGATTTTCACTTGTTCACAAGTCTCCAAAACTAATATTCTTTCTATGTTTTTTCCTAGTACCCATTTATTCAAGGGTACACATTTGGTTTGGGATGGTATGTCAAAACGTAAATCAGGACTTGGTTAATTCACAGAATCACAGACTATTACAGAATCTTAAATGTAATGCCAACTCTATCAAAGGGCCACCTGTATATAATGGTATAATAACTACTCCTAGCAATCCTTCAGAAAGTATGATAAAAAGAATCTGAAAATGATGGAATTTCCCAATTTTTAGCAATTGGGAGAGGGTTCCTGGAACTACAGACAGTTAACTAAATGTCAATCCTCAAGAAACATCCGGAGGGGGGGCACTATACATAAATTAGGAGAACACCGGGAGCTTGCTTAGGTACAAATATGAACAAATCATGTCATATCTTGATAGATCTAGTAAGATAGAAGATCAAGGCAATATTGCATGTCTTAGCATTTGTAAGTGTTCCATGACATAATTTTAGAACCTCCCCCTGCCCCCAGGAAAAAAAAAAAGTCTAATTTCCCCCAGAATCATACTGTGAGAAGGATTTGTCAATTCATTTATATGGAAAAAGATACCATGAAATCCTTAGAGGAGAATGAGAGAAGACAGGGAAAGGAAGGAGACTCCTAAGGGGTATATTATCCAGCAAGTTACTACTTGTGGACAAGTGGAACCCATCTACTCCCACTCCTTCATCCTGAGGTCCACCTTCCATCCCCACACCCCCACGTACTTTAGCCTAGACACCAGCCCTAGTGGCCATAGCTCTGAAGGCAAGAAAGGCTTCGGAATTTCAGATGCTGCCAGCTGGAAGTCAGGTCAGCATGGACGGCGATTTTAAGTGCTGAGAAACAGGATGGCCAACAACATGTGTTCGGAGCTAACTGAAAACCCCAATAATATTTTAAAAATAGTGTTACAGCATTACTATAGTATAGTTCTTATCACTTTGTTCAGAGATACTGCTTGGAACATGCTTTTTTATCAACAAAAATATTTCTAGTTCTGAGCTGTACGCAGTTTGTTTACACACACCTACATTAGCATTTTCTTTAACTTCATTTTAAAATCTAGTATTTTCAAACATTATTTTTACATGCTTTAATATTTGCCAAGCACTTCCACATGTTATTTCGCAGTAATTTTTACTAAAAATACATTGATTTTTCTCAGTCACTTCTTCCCCATCGGTACTTTATCTATTCCTGAAACACCCAAGTCTTTTGCATCTTAGAATGTTAGCATGTGCTCTTTTCACCACCAGGAATGCCCTTCCTCTGAAATTCTTTGCATGATTGGCTTCAAGTCTCAGTATATCACCACCTCAGTTAGCTCTTCCTTGTTGCTAGTTGTTGTCAAGTCAATTCTGACTCATGGCGGTCCAATGTGTACAGAGTAGAATTGCTCTATATGGTTTTCAAGGCTGTCACCTTTCAGAAGCAGACCAACAGGCCTGTCTTCCAAGACACCTCTAGGAAAGATTTAAAATACCAACCTTTTGAACCTCCAACTTTTCGGCTAATAGTAGGACATCTACTACCCTGGGCCTTTATTCTTTTACAATACTTCATGCATTTCCCTTCAAAGATCTTCACATATTTGAACAACTTATTTATTAATTGTCTGCTTCTACCAGAAGTCTATAAATTCCACAATCGCCTACAACGCACGTCACAGCATTAAGCCTGATATAACAGTATTCAATAAATACTTTATAAAAATAAACTAATGGGCTAATTAAATTGCCTCTATAGAATTTAAGATCTCAAAAACTGAAAGAAACCTCAGAAATCATCTAATCTAACCCTTATTCTACAGAAAATAATAATAATAAAAAGTTTTCCTCAGAATACAGAAGTCATTAATGCCAAAGCAAGCCCTTAAGAGCACATGTACTGATTCCCAAGCAAAGATTTTTCTGCATTAGAAAGTTACACAGTCTACTCATGACCAAAGCAACACTAAAATAATGTAAGTGTTAACTAATTTAAGCCTGACTGCAAAGGTCTATTGTTTCTTAGCCAAGTACACAGTATGACAGGAAAAGACCATTAATCAGTAAACATATCAAAGCTTTCTTTCTGAAACTTTAAGTATGTACCTCCTAGTAATGCAAACTACAAATTCTCTGGAGGACTTTGAGGGACAACTTAATTAGTAAAGTAGACAGAATAAAAGTATAATATGAATAAGTAGCAAAGTTCTAAGTATTACATATATTTCCTCCTATAGCAGTTCTTCATTCAGTTTTTAGCAGTGGCAACTTCTAATATTTTCCACAATGGAAAACTCCACATTAATCAGCCAAAATTTACAAATTTACTTTTGACATTTTGTTCCTCTAACATACCATATCCATATCTCTGTCAATCCCCCAAAAAAGCACAATAGTCCTAAAGCAGTCATATATATATATATATATATACTAACCTATCTAGCAATTTTCCCTCCCCTCCCTGGTAAGCAATTTCTTAAATGCCCACATTCCTTTCACGAATAAGAACTATTAAATGCTGAAGTATATAATGCTTACTTCGTTGTTGGTATAATGTAGATCCATAAACTGTCCAAAGGCAATTTTAGCTTTAGATCTCAGATCTTCCAGTTTAAGGGGCCTGGGAAACTGAAGGATTCTATACAGGTAGAATTTTGAAACATTTTATTTTCTTAGACACAGTCTAGCAACACACTTACAACAGTTACCTACTGGCTAAAGAGATACAAAGGTAAGTAAAAATAGTGTAAACATTCACTTTAAACATCATCACAACTCATTTGTGATCAAGTTCACAGATTCTCAACAGTTTAATAACAGTGAAGTTTATTCTCTTAGTAAAAATGGAAAAATAACTCTCAAAATTTTCTGCAATTTTTAATTAATGCTGAAATTGTTATGTGAGTAAGAGCAACTTAAAATATCCATTGAGGAAACAAATTAACTGTGGCAAATCTACACAATGGGATGCAATAAAATTGTTAAAAAGAGTAAGATCATTCCTTTGGAGATTCAAATTTTGATCTTGCACTATTATCAACTCAACAGTTTTAAGTACTTGTATTACATGAGCATATTGCTAAAATAAATATTTTTAAATACTTAAATTTTAAAATATTAAAACTCTAGTATTTTCTTCCTACAGGCCAAAGGATGAGCCTGTACTGCCCCTAGAGAGCATGCATCTAAGTTTCGGGACTACAAAGCTATAAAACTCCACAATGGGAGGGACCATGTCTGTGTTCTCATAAAGCCAATATAGTACCTGACACACAGTAAATACTCAATAAATAGTGCTGAGTGAATGAAAATTTTAGGGAAATATCCATCAAAAAATCTGAAGCAGAAAAAAAAAAGGCAACTGCAGAAAAGTTGTATAGGATAACTATTTTATCCCATTTTTTAGCATCTCCGTGTAAATTATTTAAAAATCTTTATATAATTTGTTAATCTTTTAAAGTTCTTAAAACTGATAGATTTTTCACTCAATGAATTTAATAAGAGGCACAAACAGCAGAAATGAAATTCCATCATTTCTAACTACTATTAGGTCCTACCTAGGAACTCTGGTGGTGTAGTGCCTAAGGCATCTGACTGCTAACCAGAGGCTGGCAGTTCAAACCCACCAGCCACTCCTCAGAAGGAAGACTGGGTGATCTACTTCTGTAGTGACACTGCCTCGGAAACCCAAGGAGGGGTCGCTACGAGTCAGATCCGACTTGATGACAGTGAGTTTGGTTTTGGTATTGGTCTTCCTAACAATTCTATCGTCAACCACCACCACCACCACCACCATAACCACCATCATTTTGGGACAGAGATACCAAGTGGATGGCTAGGGTTACAACCTTGCTAAATAACTTAAACCATCACTCCAGTTCACATTTCTTCAATGTTATTAATTTCATACACGTCATATCTTTTAAGTCTTTCGAGAATAATCAAAATTATGAATGGTAAGCCTGCACACATAAATTCTGTACAGTATCTGCAGGGATGATGGAATAATAATAAAGAGAAATATATTTAATTTCTACTGAGCAAAAATAAAAGGAAATGTTGAGTTGGTTCTAACTAATAGTGACTCTAACAGAACAAATGATGCCTGGTCCTGTGCCACCTTCACAACCATTGTCATGTTTGAGCCCATCATCACAGCATTTTTAATAGTGTCAATCCATCTTATTGAAAGTCTTCCCCTTTTCTGCTGACTCTCTACTTTACACCAAGAATGAGACCCTTCTCCAGGGGACTGGTCCTTCCTGATAGTATGACCAAAGTACAAGAGATTAAGTCTGGCCATCCTCACAATTATTGTTGTGATTGGGCCCACTGTTACAGCCACTGTGTCAGTCCATCTCGTTGAGGGTTTCCCCCTTTTTTGCTAACCATCTACTTTACCAAACATGGTTATCTTTCACCAGGGACTGGTCCCTGCTGCTGATATATCCAAAGTATGGTCATTATTCCTTCTAAGGAAGCTTCCATTTGTCTTCCTTCAAGATAGGTTTGTTCATTCTCTGGCAGTTGATGGTACATTCAATATTCCTCACCAAAACCACTAGTCAAATGCATCACTCTTTTGCAATCTACTTTAACCAATGTTCAGCTCTCACAGGCGTATGAGGCTACTGAAAATATCATGGCTTGGGTCAGTCACACCTTAGTCTTCAAAGTGATTTCAAAGTGCTCTTAATAGTTTAAACAAGTCTTTTCAGCAGATTTGTTCAATGCAGTATGTCCTTTGATTTCTTGACTGCTGCTTCCATGGGCACTGATTGTAGATCCAAATAAAATGAAATTCTTGACAACTTCAATCTTTTCTCCATTTATCATAATGTTGCTTATTGGTCCATTGTGAGGATTTCTGTTTCCTTTATATTGAGGTATAATCCATACTGATGGCTACAGTCTCTGATCTTCATCAGTAAGTGTTTCAAATCTTCTTCACTCTCAGCAAGCAAGGTTGTGTCATCCACATATATTAAAAATCTTTCATCTTCTTTAGCCTTGGTGATTGATGCATAAATTTTAACAATAGTAGTATTAATTGGTCTTCCTGGTGTACGAATATTATCCTATCAGTGACTATACTGCACTTCAGGATAAATCTTGAAACATTCTTTTTGACAATCAATGTGATGCTACTCCTCTACAATTTGTCATTTCCAGAATAGTAGACCATATGATTCCCCGATTCAAAAGAGCCAATAGCAGTCCATTTCAGCTCACCAATGCATAGGATATATCTTTATGCATTCCATTTCATTTCTGACAACTTCTAATTTTCCAAGATTCATACTTCTTATATTCCCCATTTCAATTATTAATGGATGTCTGCAGCAATTCTTAGTCATTTTGAATCATGCTCCATAAGCAACTGAAGGTCCCAAAAGCTTTACTCTATCCTCATCACAAAGGTCAACTATATTTTGATCTCCTGGAAGTAGCAGTCAAGAAGTCAAAAAGACTATTGCACCGGCAAATCTGCTATGAAAGACCTCTTTTTAAAGTGTTAAGGAACACTTTAAAGACTAAGGTGTGTCAGATCCAAGCCATGGTCATTTCAATAGCCTCACATGCATGTGAAAGCTGGACAACGATTTAAGAAGACCAAAGAAGAATTAATGGGTGAAGAATACTGAATATACCATGGATCGCGAGAAGAACCAACCAACCTGTTCTGGAGGAAGTACAGCTAGGAGGAGCTCTGGTAGCATAGTGCCTAAGGCACTTGACTGCTAACCAGAAAGCTGGAGGTTCAAACCCACCAGCCACTTCTTGGAAGGAAGGACGGGCAATCTACTTCCGTAGTGATACTGCCTCGGAAAGCTAAGAAGGGGTCACTATGAGTCAGGTCTGACTCGACAGTACATAACAACAACAAGAACAACAGCTAGAAGGCGCCTTAGAAGGGAGAGTGACCAGTCCCTAGAGAAGGATATCACGTTTGGTAAACTAGATGATTACAGAAAAAAGGGAACATCCTTAACAAGTGTCTGCAACAACGGGCTCGAACATAGCAATGATTGTGAGGCTGGCGCAGGACTGGGCAGTGTTTTGCTCTGTTGCACATGAGAACACTATGAGTTGAAACTGACTCTACAGCATCTAACAACTACTTTGAGGAGGCAGCTCTTCCCAGTCAAATTTTGAGTGCTTTCCAACCTAAGGGACTCATTTTCTGGCACTCTCTATCAGACAATGTTTCCTTGCTCTTCATAAGGTTTTCAGTGGCCACTTCTTTTAGAAGTGAACCCGGCCACATCCTTCATCCTAGTCTGTCTGGGTCTGGAATCTTTGCTGAAACCTATGCATCATAGGTGACCCTGCTGGTATGAGAAATACTGGTGGCATAGCTTCCAGCACCACAGCAACAGGTAAGCCAGCACAGTATGACAAAACGACAGAGAAGGAAATTGTAATATTTAAAGGGTACATTACATAGTAGCCTTATCTTGTTTCCTATACAGCATTACAAACTAAAAACAATAATCACTTCTAATATTTAGCCTATATTAAGTCTAAGTACCAGTTACACATTAACAAAGAAACTTTCATCAATAAACTTACAGGTAATGTTTTCTTGCTTACCTTTTTTCTCCTCTATGTTCAAATTTGACTCGAATGTCATTCTGTAATAAAATCATCAATCAGTTACATGAATAAAATTAAGAAATAAGATAAAATTTCTAACTCATTTTTTTCCTTAGCCTCTCATTTAAACTACAGTAGAGAAAAGGAGATTTCCTTTTTAGTGCCAACAAATCAATAGTGTTTGCCAAAGAGGTGAGTTGAGATTATGTTGCTAAATCTAGGCTCAGCAAGAAAGAGAACCAAAATCTGTGATGGCATCATGAGCTTAGAGGGAAATGTAGGATGCTATATTTCTAGTTGTCATGTTGGAAAAGCATCAGCTCTAGAAGACCAGATACCACATTAAATGAAACTCTACCATTTTTTAAAAATGCACACTCTTATGGGAATATAATAAGCAACAGTAACATACTTGATTCAAAAGTGTAAAAGCTAAATATTTTCAACAAAGCTTCTACAGGATATTAAATTGAAATAACTGACAGAACAATAATGTATACTTGATTAAAGGATCACTGAAAGAAATACCTGTTTTTTTGGTGATGAAGATTTTGTCTTTCTGGTTTCCTGTAGGGATAATGCTGGTCGACTAGCCTTATGAAGGACAGCCAAATCTTGCATGATTGAATTCAAAGCTTGTTGATCATCTAAGTATTTAAAAACAAAAACAAAAACTGTAATTTCAATATATATATTTATCAAACATATCCAACACAATTTTTCACAGGTAGGTTTCAATTATTTTAGTGAAATAAAATTTTAATTATTTAAGAATCGCAAATAAATAACATTAATATTGGACTATACTCCACCTCTAGATCACTAGTCCACATGAGACATTTATAGGCAGGAGAAAGTCACTCTGATTCTTCTAATGATATAATGTCCTAGGATAAGGGTCAAAAGAGACCCAGTTTTAACAATTGTCTTCTATGACTCAACAAAACATCAACAAGCTATATAAAATCTTAATTTAAAGAGGTGGGGAGAATATAAAGCTATTTTATCCAAGCTCATAGCATTTCGATTCAAAGTCCAGAATTCATTTGAGTTTTTCTGTATCGATACTTAATAAAGTCAAAAAGAAAGAAGAGCTTCATTTGTGAATAATAGCCTACTGATAGTTGGAGGTGCTCTCTCAAACTTCACAAGGTTCAATAACATTAAAAACATGTAACAGACTATTTAATGATCTCACCTAGTCACAATGTAAGAAAGATCCATTTGTTATAAAAATTACTAAGTCACAAAACTGAGGAAAGAGTAACGAACCATGAACTTTTGATCTTTTCCAAACATATCAAAGGTTTCTTCCTGAAACTCTAAGTATGTGCTTCCTAGTAATGCAAATGATAAATTCTTTGCCAGACTTGGGGACAATTTAATTGATTTTCACTAGTAAATTAAATCTACTAATGATAATGAGTAATTAGTAAAGAAAGTAATTGAAGGACTTTTTGGCATATATTTTTTACAAGGTAACAATTTTGGCAAGTATTAATTTATGTTCTTTGAGCACTGATGAGTTTAAAATGTTCTATAATAATATATATAAGTGATAGCTCTGGTGGCGTAATGCCTAGGCATTTGACTGCTAACCAGAAGGCTGGCAGTTCAAAGCCACCAGCCACGCCTCAGAAGGAAGATCGGGCAATTTATTTCCATAGAGATACTGCCTTCAGGAAACCCAGAAAGGGGCTGTTATGAGTCGGGATTGACCCAATGGGAGTGAAATTGGTTTTGTTTTTAATATATGTAATATTATAGAGCATTTTTAATTATCAGTTTAAAATACTCTATAATAATATATATAATGCAGTGGAGTGGCTAGGGGGAGACCAGGAAGTGAGTGGAGCAGTTTGGAACAATTAAGAGAGACAAACTTTTCTGTCAGTTTGTCATACTATGGTGTCTTGAGTGTTGCTGTGAGGCTGGAGGACCAGTGTTTCAAATGCCAGCAGGGCTACCATGGTGGACAGGTTTCAGCGAACTTCCAGACTAAGACAGACTTGGAAGAAGGAAGGGGTCATCCACTTCTCAAAGAATTGGCCAGTGAAACCTTATGAATAGCAGTGAAGCACTATCTGATATGTTACTCGAAAACATGAATAGCCCTGAAACCCAGTCCGATATAGTGCCAGAAGATGAGTCCCTCAGGTCAGAAGGCACTCAAAATACAATTGGGGAAGAGCTGCCTCATCGAAGTAGAACCGACATAATAACGAGGGAAGAGTAAAGCTTTTGGGACCTACATTTGCTGAATTAGCATGTTTCAAGATAAGAAGTAACAGCTGCAAACATCCATTAATAATCAGAACATGAAATTTACAAAATATTAACCTAGGAAAATTGGAAATTGTCAAAAATGAAATGGAATGCATAAAGATAGATATCCCAGGCATTAGGGAGCTGAAATGGACTGGTTTGGGTCATTTTGAATCGGACGATCACATGATCTACTTACTACGCTGGGAATGACAAGTTGAAGAGAAATAGAGTGTCATTTATCATCACAACAATGAATCAAGATCTACCCTGAAGTACAATGCTGTCAGTGATAGAATAATATTCATATGTCTACAAGGAAGACCAGTTACTACTACTATTATTCAAATTTACCACCAACCACCAAAGCCAGAGATGAGGAAATTGAAGACTTTTACCAACTTCTGCAGTCTGAAATTGACCAAACATGCAATCAAAATGTGCTAATTTTCACTGGTGATCGGAATGCAAAAGTTGGAAACAAAGAAGAATCACCAGTAGTTGGAAAATATGGCCTTGGTGACAGAAATAATGCTGGACATGGCATGATAGAATTTTCTAAGACCAATGACTTACTCACTGAAAACACCTTTTTTCAAGAGGTGATGGAGAAGCTCAATATCTTCAGACAAAACAAGGCAAGGAGCTGATTGTGGAAGAGACCATCAACTGCTCATATGCAAATTCAAGTTGAAGCTGAAAACACTGAAAGAAGTCCAAGAGAGCCAAAATAGGACCTTGATAATATCCCTCCTGAATTTAGAGACCATTTAATGAATAGATTTGATGTACTTCACACCAGTAATTGAAAACCAGAGGAACTGTGGAATGACATAAAAAAACATCATCCAAGAAGAAAACAAAAGGTCATTAAAAGGACAGGAAAGGAAGAAAAGACCAAAATAGATGTCAGAAGACACTCTGAAACTTGCCTTTGAACGGACAGTAGCTAAAGTAAATGGAAGAAAAGACAAGACAAAAGAGCTGAACAGAAGATTTCAAAGAGCAGCTCAAGAAGACAAGTCAGCTATAACAATGAAATGCGCAAAGACCTGGAGTTAGAAAACCAAAAGGGAAGAACATGCTTGACAATTCTCAAGCTGAAAGAACTGAAGAAAAAATTGTAAGCCTTCAGTTGTAATATTGAACGATTCTATGGGCAAAATACTGAATGATGCAGGAAATATCAAAAGAAGATGGAAGGAATACACAGTCACTATACCAAAAGGAACTGGCCGGTGTTCATCCATTTCAGGAGGTGGCATATGATCAAGAACCAATGGTACTGAAGAAAATGGCAAAAAACAAAGCTCCAGGAATTGACATAATACCCATTAAGATGCTTCAACAAATAGATGCCGCACTGGAGGCACTCACTTGGCTATGCCAAGAGATTTGGAAGACAGCTAAGTGGCTAACTGACTGGAAGAGATCCATATCTGTACCCATTCCAAAGAAAGGTAATCCCACAGAATGTGGAAATTATCTAACAATATCATTACTATCACATGCAAGTAAAATATTACTGAAAATAATTCAGAAAAAGCTACAGAAGTATATTGACAGAGAGCTTCCAGAAATGCAAGCTGGATTAAGAGGACGTGGAACGAAGGATATCACTGCTGACGTCAGATGGATCTTAGCTGAAAGCAAAGAATAGCAGAAGATGTGAAATTGTGTTTTACTGACTGTGCAAAAGCTTTCGACTGTGTGGATCATAACAAACTGTGGATAACATTGAGAAGAATGGGAATTCCAGGACATTTAATTATACTCAAGAGGAGCCTGTACACAGATGAGGAGGCCATCGTTAGAACAGAACAGTGGGATATTGCATGGTTCAAAATCAGGAAGGGAGTGCATCAGGGTTGCATCCTTTCACCATACTTACTCAATCTGTATGCAGAACAAATAATCCAAGAAGCTGGACTATATGAAGAATGTGGCATCAGGATTGGAGGAAGACTCATTAACAACCCGTGATATGCAGACAATACAACTTTGCCTGCTGAAATTGAGGATGACTTGAAGCACTTACTGATGAAGATTGAAGACTTACAGTCTGCAATATGGATTACACCTCAATATAAACAAAACAAAAATCCTCATCACAAATGGACAAATAAGCAGCATCACGACAAATGGAAAAAAACTGAAGTTGTCAAAGACTTCACATTACTTGGATCTACAATCAACACCGAGGGATGCAGCAGTCAAGACATCAGAATACGTTTTGCACTGGGAAAATCTGCTGCAAAAGATCTCTTTCAAGTACTGAAGAGCAAAGATATCTCCTTGAAGACTAGGATGCACCTAACCCAAGCCATGGCATTTTCAATTGCCTCATATTCATGTGAGAGCTGGACAATGAATAAGGAAGATTGAGTAAGAGTTGATGCTTTTTGAGTTGTAGTGTTGACGAAGAATACTGAAAGTACCATGGTCTGCTAAAAGGACTAACAAATTCTGTCCTGGAAGAGCAGCCACTACGCTCTTTGGAAGTGAGAATGGCCAGACTTTGTCTCACCTACTTTGGTAATGTTGTCAGAAGGACTATTCTCTGGAGAAGGATATCATGCTTGGTAAAGTGGAGGGTCAACAAAAAAGGGGAAGATCCTCAACGAGATGGACTGACACAGTGGCTGCAATGATGCGCTCAGGTATAGCGGGGATTGTGAGACTGGCACAAGACCGGGCATTGTTTCATTCTGTTGTACAGAAGGTCGCTATGAGTCAGAGACAATGCGATGGCACCTAACAATAACAACAATATATATAATAATACAGAGCATTTTAAAATTATCAGTGCTCAAAGAACATAAATTAGCACTTGCCAAAACTGTTACACTGTAAAATTAGTGTTATTTACTAATTACATATTATCATTAGATTTAATTTACTAGTGTAAAATCAATAAAACCAAAAACCACTGCCTCTGAGTTGATTCCTACTCATAGCAACCCCAACTGGGTTTCCAAGGCTGTAAATGTTTACAGAAGTAGACTGCCTCATCTTCCTCCCATGGAGTAGTTGGTTGGTGTGAACCGGTGACCTTCTGGTGAGTAGCCAAATGTCTTACCCACTATGCCACCAGTCTTTTTAGAAATCATTAAAAATTACCTGGCAATTCAATGATAGCAAAACTCTTTCACACTCACAAATAGCTGACTTCTCTATTGTTTTAATTTAGCAACACTGTCAATATTCTGTTTTGTGGTGAAAACTAGCTGCATATTAAAAGTTAAAAATTAATGGTTCCACTGGTTGTATTAATGAATGCATTTTTGGTTTAGAGATTTTTTTTTTTTTTTTTTTTTTAACTTTTACTGTGGTGAAAGCATATACAACAAGACATT